ATAATGATAAACGTAATAATAAAGAAAATAAATATCACAACGATAACCGTGATAGCAGTGAAATTAGTGAAAATGATGATCACGATTTTCCTAGTGATCTCATTGGTGACCTTAACTGGCGCAGTCATTTAGTGACGCAAACGGATTATCACTAATAGCGTCACGCAAAATAATTTTCTAAATTATAAAAAAAAGTGCTAATTATGGTTAGTATGGATACTTTAAATTCATCTGTTGATGTTTATTTAATCCACGAGGGCCCCTGGTTCCTGCAAAAAATTAATTAATTAATTAATGAAAATTAAAAAACAATTAAACAAGATAAATATTGATGCTCAATTGCGAAATCAATCACGTTAATCACCAAGGATGACGCGGTGATACAACTACAAGATCCCAAAAAGAAATGTTTGAAAGGCAATCGTGTGAGATTTGCAGTTGCTCATGCATGCATGCTTGAAAACTGCCATTACATATATAAGTGTAACATTTGATACATGTAATTCCATACGTAGTTGAGGGATAACTAGGTTATTCACGGGTTATCTGTTATGTGAGTATCAAAATAATCCAAGTAACCCGTAACGAGTATGACGTATCACCGATGTCTACATACATTTTTCTTTTTTTTCATGAAGTTTTTTTTGTGTAGGTTTATTACACGTCTCAAGAAGTTAAATGGCGTAAATTACAGAACAGAACCTGCGCATAACTATTATGCATCTTTGGCACGATATTTAAATGAGGAGTCGGTAATTAAACCTTGTAAAAAAATGTAACTTATACAAATAAGAAGGTAATCTATTGATACAAGTTTGTTTATGTTCTTCAGTTTTAATTTATATTTATAACTACGCGAAAAAAAATGAAGATCAAAATTGAATATGCATGAACATCAAAATTGCTCAATTCCAAATATGTACTAAATTTTAATTGTAAATTAGCATAATATAAACCGGTGGTGTAATTGACATAAAAATCAATACCGATGGGATAAGTTATTAAATTGTTTACATAGAGGTTTATTTTATATTTATTACATTATTTTTATACAACATAAATTACATAATTTTGCTCAACAAAAAAAAAACTATAGTCTAAATTAAACTTAAGTTACTTATAGCATATCTTGTAAATTCTTAAAACTTAAAAAATTCATTCGGATTTTACAACTTGAAAAACCTCATAATCTTCAAGATCGAGATGAGATTCCTCTTTGATAAATTTATTAATTCCATTATACGAAAGTGAGCCGTAGGAAACGATCTGATTGTTAATAATACCTAAATCACAACCACCACCAAAGCAAGGACCGCTGACGGGACTATAATAGATGGCCTTTTGAGGGTTGGAAACCCTGATTAACTTTGAGATTTTGGACTTTACGACGGAATTTCCAACTTTAGCACCGGATTTGTCCTTCTTTTCACCTTTTCCGAAACAGAATAAAAAGCTATTCTCGGTTTGATACATACTATTACCATTAACGCTATCATATTTGGGTTTCCAATCCAAGGGGTTATAACCACCGATCAACAAATTCTTTTTGGAGATTTTCGTAATGGTGATGGTCGGACCCTTGTCATCACATAACTCGTGAAACCTCTTTGCATCGAATCCATCACGACTTGCCCTATAAAGTAATTTAAACTTGTAGGGTAACTTTTTCATGGGCCTCACATCACATGAATAATAATTCTTCTTCTCCTTATCGATCCAACTCGCTAAATATGAAACCTTCTTTGGCGTTATCAAAAGGGAATTCAAAGGAAACCTAGGTGGTAATGATTCGATGTAATTAATCAAAGGGAATTCGTTTAAGAGGGTCGATTCGGAAGTCGTGGAAGTGGATCGATGAGCATTAAAGATCTCTCGGCAAAAATCTTTTGGCAAGATGTTCGAATAAGGAGCCACCTTATTCATGACATCATTCAGAGAGATATCCAACCACCTGATCAACGGAATGAAATCACTTAAAATCTCTTTCAAGATATCTGTTTCTTCTCTCGTCCAATTATTAATCGTTTTCAGGATAAACTGAGAGGAAGGCATTTGAGAGATACCCCATTTTAAAACATGATTCCAAATTTGTACCTCATCTTTGACATCAAGAAAATCCTGAATTAAGATTGATGTCAAGATGGATTTGTCCAGCAGTAAAAATTCCGGGGAATTAAATAAAAATTTCACGGGGTCCTCACAGATGATTTCAATCGAGTAATCTTTTAATGAGGAGAAGATTTCATTCTCATGACACGATAAGGTTTGAAGGAATTTTAATGGGTTACGACGTAAATGAAATGATTGATTTTCAATTAGATATTGTAAAATGTGTTGAATTAAGGTCGTTAATTCCAATTCGTCGGACATAATTAATATTTGTAAAATATCAGTCGTATCCTGATCTTTTAATTCGATTCTTCCTGTATAAAAGTATTTTAAAAGGATCTTAAATATTTTCGGTGAAAAATTTTGTTTCTCGAAAACAATTATTCCACCTTCTTTGGGAACGTTTTCATCATTTTTTGAGACTTTTTGAAAATAAGGACATCTTGCATTTAAGATGAGGGAATGCGCCTTAAACTCTTTTTGAGACGTCCCTTCCCCGGTTCGAATAATGATATCATGCGTTTGAAGAGTACTTTCAAGTAACCTTCCAATATCTCGAGAAAATTCTTTTAACATTTGCATTTTGTGTACGTTTAAACAAAACGAAGGAAATTATTAGATTAAATGATATATGATTTTATATTTGTAAAAAAAATTAGTTCTGATCTGGTTAAAATAATTATTTTGTGTAATGATTGTTTTTTTAAAAAAAAATAAAATGAATAAAAAATAAAATAGATTAAAAAAATAAAAAAAAAAGAGAGAGAAGGGGAAAGAGAAGGATGTTTAAAAAATATTTAAAAAAAGTTTAATAACTTTTGGCTTATTTAAAAAAAATAAAACAATACGTCAAAACAAATTTTTTGATGTGAACAATATAATATCTCATATTTACCCGCCATTTAATCGCCTATTTTTTTGCCTATTTTTCTTTTCTCAACCAAAATTGATCTAGAAACTCTCATTGTTGTCGACGAAACGCTTAATGATGTAATAGTATGACCCCAGGATTCTTTTTTTTTTGATGGTGATGCAAGGATTATATATGTATTTGTTTAAAAAGACGGCTATTGTTAAGATTTGGTGGACCTTGGAAAGTGGCGCGGCCGAGACTAATGCATTTAATGTTTGACGAATTATGTCGATCGGTACATTAAAGGCCGAGTTTACCCAAGAATGGAATGTGGCTTGGTACAGTACATATTCGTTCAAGTGGCAAATTGAAAACTTTTGAGTCGTCTCAACTCACTGCATGACGATGTATGATCTCATGATTTCAATGTCTCCTTCTACTGGTATTCAATATTCCCTCTTTCGAAAGCCCAAACACAATCCGTTTTATGGGTAATAAATCCGATTCGATTTTTATATTTAATACAATGAAATTGTTATTTTTAAACACTGCGAATAACGTTTGCTAATCATATGCTAATTATTACACTCTCCAGAAAAAATATTCATAATCGTATTCAAAAGTTCACATTGTTTATTTAATTATCTATGTATTTGTTTGTTTCCTTATTATGGTTAGCGGCGTCAATGAAATTTGTCACGATACCAATCGGAGTTTTCTGCGCCTTCGGTTCGTTAATTCGCAATCTCATTGGAGCAAGGTCACATTCAAGGTTAACTACCATTTTTGGTAGGTGTATCGTTTTAACAAATAGTCTTCGATATTCGGAAAATACCATCAAACGATGGGGTGTTCTCCGTTACAAATTTGTAATTCTTCAAAATCAGGTGTGTGTGCGACCGATAGTTCGTCTTCTTTTGGAATAAGATGAAATTAAAAATAAATAAAAGCTAGATTAAATGTGCTTTGATAACAACATCGGTTTCACCTTTAAAAGGAATTTCAAAACCATCCACATGCCATAACGTTTACCAAAACAAAAAATTTCCTTCTTTTTATTTAACTGAAATTTTTGATATCAATCAAATCAATCTCTCCTTCACATAGAAACTGCTTTTTTTACAACAAAAACAAATCCCTCCTATTATTATTGTATTTCCTAATCTTGCAACTTCGTGTTACGATTAATGTTTAATGTTTGCTTATTAATGAACGACAAAAAAAAATATTTAAAAAAAATTGGATATACATTTTATGTTGTTATGCATTTGTGCTACTCAAGGTTGATAAGTTTTTCTATCTAATAACATAAAAATCATCATTTATTCCTTCTTTTATCATTTATTCTATAAAAAAGCTTGGATTTTTTTTTTTTTTAAAAAAACAACACATAACCAGAGTGTCCTCGTAGTTGATTTAACGGACGTACATAACGTTCTAAACGATCTTTAAAAATTCAAAAAAAAAAACCTAAAGAATCACATTTTAGGTAAGTTAAAAATGATCGCTTCACATGGGTTAAAGTTACTCAAAAAAAGTTCAAACAGATGGATCTTTCTACGATGTTTCCATTCTCTTTTAAGGGATAAATCTTTAAATAATTTCTAGTAGTAGTTTAAAAAAAACCCTAAAAAAAAAAACGTTCATGAATATAGCAGATCCATATGCTCACGTACACCTAAAAAATGTTCATTAATAGATCAAATTGGAATCTTTTTATGGTCTAATTTTTTCTCTTCTAATACTTTTTCACTTATTCAAAAAATTATTTTTTTAAAAAAAAAGAAAGACGGGCGTTTATTTGTTTCCCGTGAGTGTTCGAAAAAAGGATCTTCACTGTGATTAATAAGCCGCAGTTAACAAAATTCTGTAAGTTATTTACGAAAATGTTTAATAAGGTGAAAAAAAAAAAGCGAAAAATGAATCAAGAAGGAAAAGAAAAAAAATTAAATGAAAAAAATTATAAATAATTAATGATTGGGGATATAAAAAAAAAAAAAAAAAAAAAAGACCAAAATTATACAACAACGATGTTCGAGTACTTGAAAACGTCTTTTTATTTGGTGAAATATTTATAAATGAGCAGAACACGAAATCGTTCCTTTCTTTCTTTCCTCTTTCTTTTTTTTTTCTTTTCTTTTATGAGACCTTTTTATTTTTAATAAAAAAAAAAATAAACCGACAAGAACTGTAATTAATAATAATCTTCCATTATAAAACAGCCAAATCACGTGGATCCCTCGGAAAAAGAAAAAAAATAAAGGACTCGTACTAATGAATTCAACAAAAATTACCATTGCATTTAGAATATAAAGTAAATAACATGGGACTTTGGAGGAAATTCTTACATCAACATAATAGACAAATATTACCCATAGGTAAATTATTTTAATAAATTATAAAGAATTGTAAAATATGGTATTTAATTCTCTTGTTGATTTGTTTAATAGATTCAATTATATCTAAAAAAGATAAACGAAGAAACGGAATAAAGGAACGAAGAGATAAACCGTTCATTGATAATGAGGAGAGAAAGATGGAAGAAAATGTAGAAAATAAAAATGAAATTGGAAAAGCGAATGAAAAGGGGAAAGGTGAAGAATATAATGAAAGAAATAAAGAAGAAGAAATCAACAACGAGGATGCTGATCAGCCGAAGACAAAATTATCCGAAACAACCTCTGTTATCAATACCGCCACCTCCACTCAACCAACTGAAAGTTTAATTACCCTTGGTGGTAATAGTACATCTCCAACATTATCGTTACCAACAAATCAAGGTATTTTCCTCCTCCAAGACGTATTATCGTAATTTCAACACAAAATCTTTCCTCCTGATAATAGTGAAAATATTTCATCTTCACAAAAATGAAGCAATTCCAACGCAAAATTCTACACCTTACGATGATGAAAAGACTCCCGAAAATGGCGTGAAGAATCCTTCCCTTCCATCTAAACCGAAACAACCTCCGGAACAAAATGTTCCTATAACCCCGGACAATCCGGTGCTTCCTCCAATAAATTCACCTCCAATTAATAAACCTCCAAATCCTAAAACGGATGAGATTCCTAAAAGTGTTCCCGTTAAGGAAATCTCACCAGAAAAAAACAACAAAAATAATGACAACGACAACAAAAATGATGAAATCAAGAATAATAAAAATAATACCGATAATAATAATGGTAATAATAACAATGGCAAAAATGACAATAATAATAACAACCAAAACAATAATGACATTAGTGATAGTAACCTATCAACTTCATTAACATTAAATTCATCCCCAACTTTGAAATTTGCTACCATCTCTCCTACTAACACTTCAAATCCAAATGATATATTTAATCCAAATAATCCAGCTTCAAAACCTGCGATAGTAGGAATGATATTCGCAATAATTTTAGCATTGATTGTTCTTGTAATTATAATAAGAAAAGTTAGCTTTAACAAGAATTATTTTAGACAACGAACTCTTCATCAACAATTGTTAGATAATGATGAGAATAATAATTCTTATAATGATGTTGATGATAATAGTAGTATTTCAGAAAATACTCAAAAAAATAATACTATTTTTATTTTAAACAAACCACAAAGAACATTAACTAAAGATAGAATTGAAGATATAAGTAGTAATGTTACTAATATTTATAGTCATACTTTAGATAATCTAGAAAATTCTGATATAAAGCATGATAGTATTGATAGTAGTTTAAATATAAGTGTAGATATTCATATTCCTCCTAAAATTGTAAATTGGGAAGAATGTATGAGATAATTGTTAATAATAAAAAAAATAAATAAAAAAAATAATTTTTGTAATTACTATAAAAATTTTATGATTTACAGTATATAATCTTGAAGTAAAACTTTATATATTTATCTAAAAAATAATCTAAACTGAATTAAAATATAAACTAAATCAATTTATTTGTTTGACTTGGATTAGCTTAATTAGATTAGAAAAGCTGTTGGCACATTGCTTAACTTTATTTGGAATGGTCTGATTTTCCAAAATAAAATTTTTAATGATCATACTAACTAAAACTTTCAGTTTTTATATCCAAATATAGATTAGACGTTTCTGACATTTTTATGTCTAATGCTTTATGCCTTATGCAATCA